AGAATGTATGGTACGTTCCCAAGCTAGGAAGGAACCTGATGTCAGTCAGCACAACAGTGAAGAAAGGATTTAGTTTCAAAGTAACTAAAGAAAAATGTGTCTTCATGAAGAATAACGTTGCACAGCTGTATGGACATTGTGTAAATGGACTCTATGAAGTTGAAATGGATGTTCTGTTGCCGCATGCAGAAGCTAAAACAGCGTGTAGTAGTAAACTGAAAACTGTCCAAGAGTGGCATGAATCTCTGGCTCATCAAAATAAGACACATGTGTTAAAAACTCTTAAAAGCAGGGGAATACGTGTCAAGGTAGAAGATGAATTTTGTGGAGGTTGCGTACTAGGCAAGCAACACAGAGCTACATACCATTCTCGAACTGTAAAGCCAACAATTGCAGGAGAAATAGTAAGTGGAGATCTCTGTGGTCCTATGGAAAACATTTCTCTAGGAGGAAGTCGCTACTGCCTGGTTTTCAAAGACTACTTTACTAAATTCAGAAGAGTATTTTTCATCAAAAATAAGACGGAGGTTACAGACTGTATTGAGACATACTTGAATGAATGTCAAACTGCTGGACATGTGGTAAAAATGTTTATGAGTGATGGTGGGACTGAGTTTAATAATTTTGCAGTGAAGAAATTGCTCGCTAAACGAGGCATCACTATGAGAACTGTTATGCCTTATACACCAGAAGAAAATGGTTCTATTGAACGTGAAATGTGCACGTTAGTTGAATCAGCAAGAAGCATGTTGTATTCAAAGAGATTGCCAAAGAGCTTATGGGCAGAGGCAATGAACACGGCGTGTCATGTGATCAATCGGACAGGACCAACAAGTACAGAAGGTACACCTTATGAACTTTGGTATGGAAAAGGACCAGCCCCAATTGAACATTTTCGACCGTTTGGTACAGAATGCTATGTGCATATCCCAAAACAGAAACGGAAGAAATGGTCAGCAAAATCAGTTCCAGGAAAATTGGTTGGGTATTGCGATGAACGAGATGGATTTCGAGTCTACAACGGTCACACAATAGTGGTCAGTAGAGATGTTGTCTTTAAACCTTATCAGAAAGGAGAGGTTGTCAGAGCAGAGGGCATCACAGAAGATTGGGCTAAGACTGTTCCTGATGAAGACAAAGAACTTGACAAAACCTTATCCATTCCTATCCTATGCGAAGACAAGAGTCAGCCAATCAATTTTCAAGAGGAAAATGAAGAAGCTGAACCTGATGAAATTGAATATTGTGAACAACCAGAAGAGGAAGATCGACCTGATGAAATTGAATATTGTGAACAACCGGAAGAGGAAGATCGACCAGGAAGGAAAAGGCAACCACCTAGTTATCTTCAAGATTATGTTCTTGTAGCTGAAGCTGGACCAACATATAATGAGGCCGTTAGTAGTGAAGAGTGGTTTCATTGGCAGGCAGCTATGAATGATGAGATGGCATCTCTTCAGAAACACCAAGTTTACAAGCTCGTACCGTTACCCAAGAACAAGAAAGCAATTGGAGTAAGATGGGTTCTTACAAAGAAGAAAAATCCAGATCGATACAAAGCTAGGCTTGTTGCAAAGGGCTACGCTCAGAAAGAAGGAGTAGATTATTTTAGCACCTACAGTCCTGTAGCAAGATTTGATACTCTAAGGACAGTATTAAATATAGCAGCACAGGAAAGCATGTTTTTGAAACAATTTGATGTAAAAACAGCATTTTTACATTCAAAGCTAGATGAAGAGGTTTATGTCGAGCAACCTGAAGGTTATAACGACAACTCCGGAAGAGTGTGGAAACTACAACGTAGTTTATACGGCCTTAAGCAAAGTCCTAAGTGTTGGAATAAAAGACTTTCTGAGTTCATGAAATCTCAAAATTTCAAACCGAGTACAGCAGATCCTTGTTTGTTCCTTCGTGAAGGAAATGGTGAAAAGATGTTTGTCATAATTTATGTGGACGATGGACTCATATGTGGTACTTGTGAAAAACAAGTGAATGTATTTGTGCAGAACTTGAAACAAAACTTTGAAATCAAAGTATCAAAACCTGAAACTTACCTTGGAATCGAGATTGTTCAAACAAGTGATGGAATAGTTCTCAGCCAGAGGGCATACTTAGATCAAGTTCTAGAAAGGTATCGGATGTCGAACTGTAACGCAGTGTCAACACCATTTGACAAATCCGATGTCAACACAAATGCAAAGCCTCTATCAACAGAAGTGCCGTATTGTGAAGCTGTGGGCAGTTTGCTATATTTGACAAACACTCGCCCAGACATCTGCTATGCAGTTAGTATGGTGGCACAGCATGTGACTAGTCCAACCATCAAAGACTGGAACCAAGTCAAGAGAATCCTTCGTTACCTGCAAGGTTCTAAGGACTACGTTATACGCTACACGAAGCAGAGCGATGAACCGAAGATTCTGAAATGTTACACCGATGCAGACTTCGCAGGTGATGAAAACAGCAGAAAGTCACGTTCAGGATGTCTATGTTTGTTTGCTGGCGGAGCCATTAGTTGGTTTTCAAAGAAACAAAATTGTATTTCACTATCAACTACTGAAGCGGAATATGTTGCTGCTAGTGAAGCTGCTAAGCAAGTAATATGGCTTAAAGGCTTGTTAGAAGAAATCAGCAGTTCATCGATCGAAGCAACTATGTACATTGACAATGCTGGTGCAGTACAATTAGCACACAATCCTTCAACGCATGGAAGAACGAAGCACATCAGTGTTCGGTTCCACTTTGTTAGAGAGCACTTCAACAACGGATGTTACAAAATGGAACATGTTCCTGGAAGACTTCAGTTGGCAGACTTCTTGACAAAGAGTTTACCTTCTAGTCGACTGAAGGGACTTTTGAACCTCTCAGGTTTGAGGGCAAATTAAAAAGATTTTTGAAACCTGAGAGCCTGTGAGTTGAGTTGGTATTAATATTCTTTAAAAACATGTGTTGTTTATTATTAAAGAATAACAATTGATTCTCATTCTACTCATAACATGGGCTTTGTTAAATAAAATAATACTAATTTCTTTATCCAACTTTTATTGTTTTTAATTAATTTCTATTTTATCTGGCGGGGATTGACCCCCAATGTCTTTCTTAACCGAGTAAGGGAGGGTTTATGGATGTATTAAGTTACTTACTTTATCCGTGGGATAGTGACTTAATACCACTCAATAAAAACTATTGACGAAATATTTTACAAACAGAATGTTTGTATCTAAATCAAAATGTTATTTATAACGAGACTAGAAGCTCTTGTAAATATCATGTTAACATTATTATTAACATTTTTCAAAATAGTTTTTTATTTTTGCTGATATGACAGTGGCATAAGTGTTTATTCAAAATAATATGTTGTAAATAATAGTCTATTATTCTACAAGAAATCTATAATAATACCCGCGCCGCAGCAAACCTGCGGACTAAGCGAATTTCAACTTGTCTGATTACATATTTACTAAAATATTTCCATAAATAAGACATATTTATTCCCAATTTAAATAACATTAGATTTAACGAGTGCTTAGGTTTGCTGCTACGGGGAAGGTAAATTGTGTTTTTTGACCAAACGTCAATAGTATACAATGAAATAAATACATTTGCCAAATTTGATCAACATATAAACATAAACAAGTAAACTACAACAGTCTTCATTTTCTCCATAAGGATAACATAGGACTTTTAAATTTGCACTTTTTTTAATTTTCTCTGTAACCATTAGGCATACAACAATGCTTCAATATACTAAATTATTTCTTTTTTTAAGCTTTACAAAATGGTTGGGAAAGAAATTCCAAAATTTTATGTTTTTAGGGTCAAAAATGGGAAAACCCCATTTTTACCCCATAAAACCCCCCATAAACCCCCGTTCCCATGGTCTGATCATGCTGGTTCGCGAACTCGTTCGAATAAATGTAGGTTTACACGTTTATACCAAATTTCATCAAAATCGGATCATTTTTGTTCGAGTTATCGTGCTGACGGACACACACATATATATATATACATATATATACAGATACATATTATATATATATGAATTTGAACGGATGGTGTTTTTGGCCTCTGGGGACCTCAAAACGAAAAAGCAAATTGGTCCCGGGTCCAGGTCTTACCATGAGACCTACGGTAATAGCTTATTCCCTATATGGGAAATTCGCTAAAAAGAATCAACATCCTAGTAACAGCTCCCATGCAATGTAGACGGGGCTGCAGACAGACGTTTTGGTTTAACAAATGCAACAATTGAGAGAACATCTCGATTACAAAACTCTCGCTAAGTAATCGAAACAATCTATAAGCGGAACATCTCAAGAAGGAATATTTCGATTGTTTGAACATCTTGCAATCGCGTATCACTAATAAGTATATATAAGTAATTCAAAATCCTTGAACAAGAGACAACCTTGGGGGGTTGGACATATTGCAAAATTTGTGAAAAAGCAACTCGCTCTCAGTTTTGCACGAAATTAGTACTGTGCTACTGTACCCCCAACGAGGAGGTCGACGAGTGAACATGAGCAAATAAGCAGCTGCTATGCACGCTAAATAACGACAACGATGTGTAGATGTACTCATCACTACAAAAGATCACCCAACTTATCGAAATGTTCAGATCTCTTATAATCGAACATTGATCATTGAACAAGGGAATTTTGGTCCATTTTTTATGTTTGCGAACAATGTTCAGCGTATATGTTCGGTAGGTGGAGACAAGGCTAAAGACTTCCACCGGCATCTTGGAATGATCACGCTAAAATGACACGAGAAAAAGATCATATATATAGGCCTACAGAAAACTTTCAGACCTTTTAGACCAAATGCCCGAGTATTTAATGTGCCAGAGACCCTAGGTTGCTGGATTAGCGGGCTTTTACTGTATACCTACAAGTCAACAGTGATTGGACTTATATGTATATAAGTTAGTAAAAAGTATATAAGGTAATATAATAACGTATATAATAAAAGGTATATAAGACAGTAAAAAGTTATCTCACCTGACTGGTTCTGATGACCCCTCAGAGCTGAAACAGGAATGTATTACTCAGATGCTGCATCTTGAGTTAAGACAAGGAATCAAGACTACTTGTCATTAACACTGTGGAGTAAGCCATAACTTATAAGCAATTGCCAAATTATTTTGTTCTTATTATGCATCTCCAATAATGGTCTCCCAATAAGTTATTCATGATACAAGTTATTTTACTATTTTTTTATCACGCATTTATGCCATCTTGCTATAATTGGACATGCAAATGCTATAATAGGATTGCTCTTGTATATGCCAAAGCCTAATTGGTGTAGGGCCAAAAATGGTATAGGCCTTTGGAAACAAATAAATGTAATATTTCTAAAATTTTGAAAGAAGTACCTAATGAAAATTCAATTTTACATTGTTTTAGGCTAGTTAATGAATACATTTTTAGGCCTAGACTATTTATAGTTCTACAAAAACGTCTTTAATTTGTATAGAAAACTGTCATTTGACTTGAAGCCAAACCAGAGTGACTCTTAGTCTAATAAAAAAAGCTTATTTACTAGTAATCAAGGTAGGCAGTACCTTTAACCTAATCTTTACTTTTCAGGCACTAAGTTATGCCTAGGGGCCTAGTTTATATTTTATAATTCTAGTCTATATTTTCAAAAATGCAAGCAATTTTGAAATTATTATTGAGATAACATAAATCAACAACTCTATTCATTATAACAAACATTACCTTCCTAATCTAACCTAACTTTAAAACACAAAATACAGTCACGAATCCACATAACACCCAACCTACCTACCTCAAATGTCTAAATGTGAACTAGGCTAATAACTTAATCAACTTCTCTACCGCTTTGTCCTCTTTGTACAAACTTAATGTTTATTGTCTTAGGTTTCTGCTTCTTCCCTAGACGATCCTTTCAACCGTTCATGTCTGTGTTGGTATTCAATTCACTTAACACAGTAATGGCGACAGAGACAAGCAGACAAGAGGCATTTACACTAATAAAATTCAAACGATCATAGTTTATTCAGTTTTTGTGATAACAGAAAAGTTTTTGCACAATTGTTTTCAGATAAAAATCTAGTTTCTAATGATGTGTTATTCGTAGATTTAACCCTCCGAGCGTCACTCGTCGAAAAATCATTATCATCATTTTGACGCACGAACATCGTTTACGGCGAAGGCTCTATGACTGACTGAATCGGATTGAACTGGATCGAGTTAGGTATCGTTCTTTTCGTTATATTCTACGCTTTCTCCAGAGGTCTGTCTCTAAGCGCTTTATGTTCTCCGAGCCGATCGTAATTGTAGCAGACAGCTGACGTGCGTATTTGTAAATAGCTAGGTTACCCTCGGACCGATGACTGATGTGTTTTATTACGTTTATCATTGTTTTAGTGTTAAAAATCAAAAGTAGTGATATACGGGGTGCATTATAAGGAAAATTTAAGTGATTTTGAAGGGCTGGTTGATGATCCTGAAGAAGTAGGTAGTGATATTGATGTAAATTATCAGCCAGATTCCTAGCTATGGTTAGGCTATGCATTCTTAGCTAAACGCTATGTACTGAAATCTGTTTTTTGCCCATAACTTATTTATTTGCAAATCTACTTCCTTATATTATTAAATATTTGTAATCCTCATAAAATTTAGAACAAAGTGGCTATTTTCAAATATTTATAGGCCTATAATTTATACAATTTCATTGAGCGCGAACTTATTTTTTTTTTTTTTAATTTTCCAAAATATTTTTTTTACCTAAAATTTTTTTTTGAAAAAAATGTTCCTTATGTTTTATGTATAATATTGAAGCCCATGATTTTCCAAACAAAATGGAATATAGAACAGTAGAATTAACATTGTTTTAAGCTTCTCAGATCCGTTTTAATAAAACCTTGCAAATGCGCCAAAAATAGGCGGACATTAAGGCCTAAACTATGGACACTCGGAGGGTTAATTTAGTTTTAGTATAGCCTACATTTGAGGTACTTATATATAAGAATACTTATACGTTTACGTATAGGCCTACTCTTGTATCATAACTAGGCGTACAGTAAAAAACTGTTTTATCTCGTACAGTATTAACATTTAGTAGTAGGGCCTAAGAATGGGGCCATGTTTGTTTTTTTAACTAATTAATAATAGGATGTTAATAATAAGATGTTGACAATCCTGGTATTTATTATAGATCAGACCACGAAAGCGATGTTAAGTATTTTTGTAAAGCTTGTTTAAACAATAATCCAGGACTTCATATGGGCGAGGAGGTTGAGGCTCCTAAGTTACTGGCCTTCCAGCAAAGGGTAATGTTACTAAGTCATGCATGTAGAAATAATTTTAAATTTTGTAGAAAAAGTCAAAACCACCGACATTTTAAGGTATTCATGGAAATGCCACAGACATTTTTTATGTAGATACCGGTACCCAAAAAGAGGACGTTTCCAGGAAAACAAGGACTTAACTTATGGGATCCCTAACTTAAATAAAGTTGGATTATAAAATTATGGCAATTATTCCGTATGTCTACACTGGGAAAAGATGGCATTTTTATGTCTACAGTACCTTAGGCCTACTGAACTTACCATTTTGCATCTCCACTACTTAACTTAAGCCTTGTTCACACGGGGCGAGTTCGCTTGTATTTGTTCACACAATGCTTTTTCCTCTCGATCAGTAGCTGGCTTGAATCAAATAGGCCTACTCCAACATCTTTGAATAACATGCGCACAAGCAACAGTGTTCACACTGGGCTACTTTACTTGCCTTCTCGCTCAAAAGCTGGCGAGTTAGCAAGTAGGCCTATAGTAGCCGCAGAGTCAACTTTTCCAGAGTTTTTTACAAGCACCTTTTGATCGAGTATGTCGTTCACACGGAGCTATTTACTAGCTGCGTGTAAAAAATCGGTGTGTAGCTTGTAAACTCGCCCCGTGTGAGCGGGGCTTTAGGGCCTAAGTGTTTGATAGGTAGGCTATCGTATAATTATGTTTTTATGTAGGCCCTAGGAAGGTAGCCTGGAAGGTATGGGCGTTAAGTGAGTGGGAGAACCTTTCGCGCTGTTCTGGCTAAACCTCGCATGTGGGGTTGGTTCGGCAGATTGGCCACACCTTAACTCCAACTCTCACTTGTTAGCTGCGGAGAGCTACCTTCTGCCACTGGGTGTTGGTCCACCTACAGAACCAAGTGAGGGGGGCCCTAGACTAAGGTGTAATGCGACCGTGTCGAGTCTTGTAGCACTGGGGGCCTAATATTCAGTGTCTTAACTGAGCCTTCTGAGAACCCAGTCGTATATGCCCCTTACCCGGGGAGGTGTACCTTAGGCCCCTATTACACGAGGTAGCCTGGCGACGTCGCCAGCGGCAGTAGCTGGCGACGCACTGGCCACCAAACCTATAACCAGTTGAGTAGCCAGTTGAGTAGCCAGAATTTTACCGCCGTGGCGCCGTTGTTGTGAGTGCTTGTCTTTCACTTGTACTTGTTATGAGCGGTGTTTACAGTGAATAATGAGTGATTATAAGTATCTTCTCCTTCTGTTACTTGAACTGAACTGATGAACTACCTAAATGTACGTTCATCCAATGCTTAGTGCAAGAGAATCAAAAGGGTTATATTACACCCTTTTTGATGAGCTCTGTGCGGACAATAAAAAATATTTCAATTATTTTCGTATGTCACAATCCAGTTTCTTCGAGTCATAAAGGATGATATAGACATTTTATCAACTGAAGTGAACAATTCACACACTCACAACACAACAGAACGCAACACAACAGTGTGCAAGTACCCCCGTGATATGAACTAACCGAGTGGCGACGTGATACTGGCGACCTAGTGTAATAAGCTCCATATGCTACAACGCAGCGTCGCCAATATGGGTAGCCAGTGGCTACCACAGTAGCGACGGGGCTCGGTAGCCAGTCGGTCGCCAAAGTGTGGCTGCGTCGCTGGCTACCCTCGTGTAATAACATCCATAAGAATCAATGCCCCGTGACAAGCTGAGTAGCCAGTTTGGTCGCTGGCGACGTCGCCAGGCTACCTCGTGTAATAGGGGCCTTAGATACCCGGTATTCGTGGGAACAACGTAGACAATCTGACCCCAATGGAGGAGGAAGGTCTACTGAAATCTGGCGATGACGACAAGCTCACAGTAGAGATGGGCATTATTTAACATAGGTAACAGGATGAATAACAGTGTTGCGGCCGCGGCAACACGTTGCGGAGAACTCCCTGTTATTACAGTAGAGTCCCGCAAACTCGGCGTAATGTGGACTGGAAGGGTGCTGAGTTTGTGAAATGCCGGGTTATCGGGAACTAGGGTTAAAAACAAGAACAATACCATTTTTAAGCTTATTAACTACCTCTTTTATTTATATTTTTATTGCAAGTTAGTATCAAGTCATCAGATATAGTACAAAAAACCATTTGTACGAGCTGAGAATGATTTGACTTGAGCTGGCTTGAGTCCATGTTTAACTCAGACTCAAAAAATCACTAATTTTCTGAGCCAGGTGATGGCCGAGTTATCCAGACTGCCGGGTTATCGAGTGCCGAGTTTGCGGGACTCTACTGTATAATAACGTAGGTATCTATCTACACCATGTTGCAGGAAAGCCGCACGGACAACGAAAACATGCATTGCCGTATGTGCCGTTGCCGCAACACCAACAGAGCAACAATAACTTCGGAAACGAACTACAGTAGAATTAGAATAACGATGCATCCTGTCTGGACAACGCTCGACTCCCAACTATAACTGTAAACTGAACTGATCAACCAACAACGATAACTGAACGCCACGACACCGACCAGTGGACAACGGTTTTTAGCGGCAACGAGTTGGCAATCGTTATTAAAATAACAAGTTGCCGCAACACGTTATTGGGCAGCTGCGTTATCGTTACAACCGTTGCCGGAAAACAACGATAGGCCTAATTCCAATCTCTAGCTCGCAGAAACAAGAAGGGAAAAAAACGACTTGTTCCAGGGGCGAGTTGCGAAGACGGAGGATGGCAGGTGCTGTAGATAAAGGCTAAAAG